TCTGTCTGTCTGTCTGTCTGTCTGTCTGTCTGTCTTTTTTTATTTCTACCTGTTCCCCCCTACATACTGATCACATTCATCATGGAAAATTTTTCTACCTGTATATAATATATCTTCTTTTTCCTTTTTTTGGTCCCATTACCCTCACCTCCCTTAAGCACTTCTTCCCTCCCCAATTTAGAAAAACTGTTTCCATTTTCCCCTTCAATTCTCTTTTTAAAATCCACTTTTCCTTCTTTTCCCTTCTAATTTGAACAGATTCTTCATACTTCCCAGTATCTATCATCTATTTTGCTCCATATTTATACTTTTGAGCAAATAATGTAATATTTAAACTTGCCTGTCCAATTTATTTCACTTAAGATTATACTCTTGTGATGCATCCATTCACCTCCAGAGTCTCAAGTTTATACTTCTCTATGGCAGAGTAGTACTCCCTTGTATATACCACATTCTCTTTATTCATTCACCAGTCGATGAACATGTGGTCTGTTTCCAACTGTTCTAAATTGTGCAGACATACAAATGGTTGCAAATGTATCACTGTGGTGCAATTTTAACTCTTTTGGGAAGATACCTAGAAAGGGAATAGCTATTTGAGGAATCTCCGTACTGATTTTCATAATGGTTTTATGAATTTACACTGTCATCAACACTGGAGAAGGGTTCCTTTTTCTCCATCACCGACATTTGTTATTAATTTCTGTAATGAAATGGAATGTCATTGTTGCTTAAATTTGCATTTCTCAAATGATCATTGAACATTTTTTTCATGTATTTATTTGCTCTTATACTTCTTCATCTAAGAAGTATCTGTTCATTTCAGGTACCCATCTTTGGATTGAGTCTTTAAATTTGGGATATCTGGTATTGTTTTGAATTCTTTATATATTCTAGATACTAGTCCTCTAAGGAATAGCTGGCAAGATTGTTTTCCCATTCTGTAGTTTGTCTTTTCACTCTGTTAATGGTTTCTTTTGCTGTGTAAAAGCTTTTTAATTTGGTAGTGTCCCATTTGTTGATTCTTTGTAATATTTCCTAGGTAGTTGAGTTTTTCTTTTATATATGTATTTGACACAGAGTCTACACGTCTCACTATGTACTTCAGACTTGTAGTGATCCTCTTGTTTTCAGCCTCCCAAGTATATCTTGGAATTGATCCATTTCTTCCAAACTTTCCTGTTTATCTAGTGTAGGTTGTAAAAGTAAGTATTAATGATCTTCTGGATTTCTGCAAGATACAGTGTGGTTTTTGCCCTTTTCTTGCATAATTGGATAGATTTGGGCTGGTTTTCCCTTGTTTTGAAAAGGTGGGCTAGGCGTTTGTGTATTTTATAGAGTGTACACTATATGTGTATTAGTTTTTATTATTCTTCAGTTTCATTGACTACTTTTAGATTATTCAGAATTTTTATATCTTCTTGATTCAG